GCATGTGTAAAGTACCATAATAAATGTACAAAGTGCTATTGGAATGCAGAGAGGGAGGGATGGCTTGTCCCAGGAATAGAGCTGCAGCAAAGTAGGCAGTATGTAAATCATGTCTTAAGAACAGAACTGCCTACCATTGCCCAAGTGTAAAAGCCAGAATATATGGGAATGCCTGGTATGTTTGAGAATGAAAATGTTTAGCTGTGACTAGAACATAGCGTGTCTGGAGGTTTGTAAGAGAAGCTGAAAAAGATGGGTTTAGGTTAATCTGTAAATAGTCTGTGACAACAGCTCCTGTTATTCCATTGCCTATGAAAACACAGTGGAAATTGTAAATCGAGGACCTGGATTGCACACAATTTGAGCAGGGAAAATGAAAGCACAGAGGTGAGTTCTGATGGTGCTTTAATGCAGGATGATGCAGAAATGATGAGGAAGAAATGACTCTCCTGCATTACAGGCAGTCTCCTCCATTGCAGGTGGATTCTTTACTGGACTAAGCCACCAGGGAAGCTGATAGAATTTAACAGTTGATAGAGGCAAAGGAAGGAAATGAAAGTTTTAGTGTCGGGGTAAAGATGAGAATTTCAGCCTGTGTGTCCAAGGTGACAGGAGGTTTAGGGTGGGAGACAGGAATTTTGTTTCAGATGGCAAGGCTTGGAGCGCTTCAGCATGCCAATGAGAGCATGCAGAGATTTTTCTATGTAATAAGTGGTTTTACTATGTAATAAGTGGCGATTTGCATCTGGAGCCCAAGGGAGAGAGAAATATTTAGTAGCAGGGGTTGGTAAAGCCTTAGGAGAAATGAAGTCCCCTAGAGTGGGCTTCTGACAGGCGAAGGGAAAAAGAATCAAAATAAAAATCAAGGAACATAGAATTTAGCTCTGCAGTTCACTGACCAGAGCCTCTACCTCCAAGGCAAACTCAATCCACCTTAGCCTACGTTCAGGTCAAGTTGAGAGCTACCGGGAGAGATGCTATCTCCTTTCCTGTTCTAATACTGCCATCTCTGTAGGGCTTGCATCAAAATTCTCTCCATTTGTCTAATACTTATTCTTCCTTGAAGTGTAGTAAGGATCACCTCCTATCTTTCTTTTATGTTATGTTAATATAGGTTCTCCTAGGGGAAAAAAGTGAAAGTGTTAGTTGCTAGTTGTGTCTGATTCTTTGTGACCCCATTGACTTTAGCCCACCAGGCTTTTCTGTCCATGGAATTCTCCCGGCAAAAATACTGGAGTGGGTTTCTGTTTCCTTCTCCAGGGGATCTTCTTGATCCAGGGACTGAACTTGAGTCTCCTGCATTGCAGGCAGACTCTTTACCATCTGAGCCACCAGTTCTCCTAGAAGCAGATACCAAATGTGACTAAATATATAAGAGATTTATCAAGGGAAACATTTGTAAAAGATAAAAGTTGGAGGGTGGTAAGCCCGAGAAGGCAAGAAGAGCATTCAGATTATGAGGAAGATCTGACTCATGTGAAGGAGAGAGGGAAGGAAGAAGGATGGAGTAGGAGGCACCTCAGAGTACAGCGTAGTTCCAAGAAAACTTTGACCAGAATTGTGGGGCATCTTTATGCCATATCCCAGAGGAATAGACCCACCTGAATTCCCCCACTGTGCTAGCCGTTGCTAGGAGAGCCCGCAGGCAGTGACTCGGTCACAGGCATGCTCTGTCACTTCCGTTGTGTCCAACTCTCTGCAACCCTATGGACTGGACTCTGCCAGGCTCCTTTGTCCATTAGCTTCTCAGACAAGAATACTGTCGTGGCCCTCCTCCAGGGATCTTCCTGACCCAGGGATCAAACCTGCATTTCCTGCAAGCCTCCTGCATTGCAGGCTGATTCTTTACCCACTGAACCATCTGGGAAGCCTGTGACTCAGTAATTAATCCAAAGGAGTGACACCTGGGGCCATCAGACCAAAAACCTCCCAGAGCAGAGATCCTAGCGGCACACATTTCATGGCCACCATAGATGCCTTCAGTGACCCAGTGACACTTCCTAAATGTTCTGCTGGCACTTCATGTCCACACCAGTCAAAACTCAGCATGTACAGCCTTCCACCATAGTTTCATTATGTGTCCACCCAACTGGATTATAAACCCTTCTTTAAAGATCAGTGCAGCGTCCTTAACTCAGAGGCACCTAGGTATTCATCATAATAAGAATTGTGTTATTTTCATGACTTGAATTTATCTGAGAGTTGCAGCAGTGGGAGTTTTGACTTAGGAAGTTGAGATGGGGGAAATGAAGAAAATGATTTTGTTGAGGAGTCCCATGGATATCGCAGTGAGGGAGGGAGAATTGGAGCATGGGAAGCAAACATACCCCCTAAAGAAAAGCAGATGCTAGGGCCTAGGCGCATGCATTTGATTAGGTAAAGTCCAGGTATACAAACAAAACACAGGATCCAGAGAACATGATGGAAATTGCTAGTCTAGACAAGAGCTAGCAGGAAGGAGGTCCAGAAAGATGTAATGGATGGGAATTTGAAGTAGACATCACTCCAACTCTTTGAAAACTAGCCTTTCTACCCACAAGGCAGTTTTCATACACCATATCACACCTTCTTAACCTTGATTAATTGGACCAGAAGAGACACCTGTCTCAAGCTGAACCTCCCAGGAATTTTGACTCTAGGTTCAGTAAATCTAATTAGTTGAATTTTCCTTGAACTGAGCTGACATGTTCAACACAGAGTTCTTGGAGCCTGCTGAGACACTCATGTACACTAGGAAGCAGGAGATGCAGATTGCAGAAAGACGAGAATGAGTCAGACGTTCAGAGAATTGAGGTGAGAGCGTGACTCCAGACAAGAATGAGACTGAGAGGATGGTTGCCCGGACTCCTGAGACATTTCCAACCTTGGACCTAATCCTGTGCCTTACAACACTAGGTTCCGAGATAACCCGCCAACCTTAGATTAAATTCCCTATTCTTAATCCAGTTTGAGTGGAATTCTTTTAGTGGTTCAGGTGGTAAAGAGCTTGCCTGCAATGCAGGAGACCTGGGTTCAATCCCTGGTTTAGGAAGATCCCCTGGAGAAGGGCGTGGCAACCACTCCAGTATTCTTGCCTGGGAAATCTCACAGACAAAGGAGCCTGGTGGGATATACTGTCCACAGAGTCACAAAGAGTCAGACACTACTGAACAGCTCACCCCCACACACACTTTTAGTGGTAGCCAAATAATATCGACCTTGACAGTGTTTGTCAGGTATGCTCAAGACTAAACAGAAAACTCAGAAAAGCGCAATGTACAGAGATACAGACAAGCAAGAGGTTATCATTAGGAAAACTCGGAAGAGTAGCTTGAACAAGGCAGCTTTTAGTCTGGTAACTATAAATGGGTAAGCAAGTCAGAAACGAAGCACACAGAACCTGGTTACAGGAACTAGGGTATAAGGTAGAATCTTCACTGCAGGAAGAAGGCAGAAAATGTTGGTTATTGGGAATCAAAGTCAGAGGCAGACGAAGACCTCTGATCTATTGAGGATGAATTAATTCATACTCTCAGAATTCTTGGGTGTCTGCTACAGTCTAGGGCCTGTAGTGTGTTAACGGACTGAGCTCGGGGCTCAGTGTACTGAGGGATGGAGCCAGCCTGTCGGTGGAGACACCGTGATACCTGCCCTGGAGAAGAGGAGGCTCAGAGGGCAGAATCAGGGCACCAGTCAGCTGACTATCTGGAGTGGATGATAGAATGTTAGAATTTGAAACATTCTGGACAAAACAGACTTGGAAAAAGTTGAGACTGAAAACTCAGGAAGGAGAACTTTCAAGGAGAAGCAGAGAGGAAGGTAAGCCATGAAAGAGTGATTCAGAACAGGAGATAAGAAGGTGTCAGACACTCAGCTTGTCTATTTGTCAGTGTCTGCTAGGGCCCTGGTGGCAGCTGACGAACCTGTAAAAAATACCTCTTGTGCCTGTTTAGGCTGAATGAACTGTTTTATCACAAACCTGCTCTACCTTGCCGAAGTTAAAATCTTCAGGATTTGGAAAGCTTTTGACTCTAGCCTTTCCTAGTTCACTTGTGCCTCACCAGACAGACAAGACTAGATTCCTTTAAATTCATTCAGCTCAACATCTTCTGGTTAAACCTTGAACCCTCACATACTTGTAAGAAGAAATATAGGAGAAGAAAAGGAGACAGAAGGAAGAATAAAAATTCAGAGATACTTCATGATCTGTTGCATACAGATATTGGGATACATGTTGGGATAAAATTAAGTCAAACACTTGATCTCCTGTGATCTCCTTGTCTACCTCCCACTTAGAATTTTGAATTTCTTGTAATCACAGATACTGCTTTTCACAAAGACCGCAAAATCACTTCTCTAGTGGGTGTCAGGGAGTCCCCATATAGTCCTATATTTAACCTTGGTAAGATGACCTAAAAAGTAACCTAAACAATGACAAGTTAGGAGACATGCTATTTGGCTCTGGTTTCTTTTCCCATAATCTTATTTCTAGTGTGGTTGTTCATGGTATTAAACAGAGTCAAAAGATCGAGGACTGAGTCAGAAATTTCTGTCTGGCTTGTGATTGGCCTTATGGGGAGCAGATTGTTTAACCTCTTCAGGCTCCCATTTCCTCATCAATATTATTATGACACATGACACTTGCTCCAGTACCTTGCTGGGTGATGTTTTTTAATTGGGGTATAGTTGCTTTATAATATTGTGCTAGTTTCTGTCGTACAAAGAAGTGAATCAGTTATATGTAGACATATATTCTCTCCCTTTTGGACGTCCATCCCACCCCACCCCCCATCCCATACCATATTAATTTCATACATTTTTGAATTGAGAGAAATATGAGTTTTATATATATGGGGGGAGGTTATAATAAAAATGTTTGGTCAACCAAATATGGCTCAGCTTTATATTGAGATTGTTACCTCTCAAAGTAACTCCTTTTTATTCATTTTTTAAAAGTAGAGATATTCTGCATTTATACTGGTTAAATTCTAATATTCTTTAATCTTTTATTTCCTTGCAAGATAATAGTTGGAGAAACTGCTGTGTTTTGCCTACAACTGGCTACAAGGGATTTTGAAAACCAGGAGAAGACTATTTTAACTGGAGACTGTTGCTATATAAACCCACTGGTGAGGAGAACTGTACGATTTCTTGGTATGTGTTCATTGAATTGTTTTTATTGTTTCTGAAATAATGTTTATGTATAAGCTAACCTTTAAAATGTTTGCAAATGTTAGGTTATATTTTCTTTGAAATGTGTCAATTTGGTTTTAAAATAAACACTTCCTATTATTTTCTCTCCTGTTCTGCAAAACTCCACTTCATGGTGTCATTTCCACATTATTTTAAGGGAAAAAAAAAATCCCATCACACTTGGATATTTAATATTCTAAAAGAAACTAAAAATTATGTAAATAAATGGTTTAGTGTTTTTTAAATTTCAGAAACAATGCTTAGGTAGAAATGATGACCTAGGTTGATTACTGAATATTACAAAAGACAAAAAGAATAGCTGGACAAATAAAAGAAATGCTGTATTGGTTGATTATAATAAGTAGCACTCCATGAACTACTTCTCAATTGTTGCTTTTTTATTTTTTTTGTAATACCAACAAAATTGTATTCTTGACCCATTTAATCTTTGTGTGAGAATCATTTAATAACAAAATAAGCAATAATATACTCAGAACTGAAGTGTTTTTGATGAAACTGAACCTTCCTAAATTCTGTTAAATTATATTATGCCTACTTAAGTAAAATTTTTTTATTCATTTACACCCATATTTCTAAATAATATGCAGGCATACCTCGCAAGATATTTGAACTCAGTTCTAGACCACTACAGTAAAGTGAATATCACAATCAAGTGAGTCACATGACTTTTTTGGTTTCCCAGTGCATATAGAAGTTATATTTATACTATATTTAGTCTGTTAAGTATGCAATAACATTATGCCTGAAAAAATACATACTTTCATTAAAAATACTTTTAAAAATAAAAATGGCTAAAAAATGCTAATCATCATTGGAACATTTAATGAGTTGTAATCTTTTTGCTGGTGGAGAGTCTTGCCTCAACCGATCATATTGGTAGAATCTGAAGGTTGGGGTGGCTGTGGCAATTTCTTAAAATAGGATAATAACGAAGTTAGCCATAGTGATTGACTCTTCCTTTCTCTAATGATTTCTTTGTATCATGCAATGCTGTTTGATAGCATTTTACCCATGGTAGAACTTCTTTTGACGTTACAGTCAGTTCTCGCAAGCCCTGCTGGTGCTTTATGTAGTATTTCAAATCCTTTGTTGTCATCTCAACAATCTTCACAGCATCTTCACTAGGACTAGATTCCAATCTCAAGAAACCACTTTCTTTGCTCATCTGTGAGAAGCAAATCCTCACCCATTCAAGTTTTATCATGAGATTGCAGTGATTCAGTCAAATCTTCAGGCTCCACTTCTAATTCTTTTGTTATTTCCACCACATCTGCAGTTTCTTCCTTCACTTAGTTCTTGAACCCCTCAAAATCATCCATGAGGGTTGGAGTCAATTTCTTTCAAACTCCTGTTTATGCTAATATTTTAACCTCTGCCTATGAATCATGAATGTTCTTAATGATATCCAGAATAGTGAGTCCTTTCCAGAAGATTTTAAATTCCCTTTGTCCAGAACCATCAGAGGAATCCCTATCTATGGCAGCTACAAATTTATGAAATGTACTTCTTAAATAATAATGTTACTGAGTCCAAGCTCACTCTGCTCGCTGTACAATAGGCCAATTAATCAAGAAACCAAGTGTTGAGGCAAGGAATATGACTTTATTTGGAAAGCTGGCTGATCAAGAAGATGGCAGACTAATATCTCAAAGTGACCATCTTATTGGAGTCTGCGTGCCAGCTTCTTTTATAGAACAGAGAGGGAAAGTAGGTGAGGAGGTAAAGTAAAAAGGTATTTATCTTGCAAAATAGGGGATATGTTAATTTCTTCTTTTGTGCAGCCATTCACAGGTGGGCTGGGTCAGACTGTCTCTGAAAAGTGAAGATTAAAATAAGAAAAACAGATCCAACATGGAATCAGAATTGGCTCTTCCCTGCAACAGTAAGATTTGAAAATCAAAAGTCTTCCTTGATCCATGACCTGCAGAATGAATGTTGTGTTGGCAGGCATGAAAACAATATTAATCTCATTGTACATCTCCATCAGAGCTCTTGGGTGACCAGGTGCATTGTCAGTGAGCAGTAATAAACTTGGATATTTTTTCTAAGCAGTAGGTTTTAACAATGGGCCTAAAATATTTAGTAAACCATGTTATAAACAGATAATCTGTTAGCCAGATTTTGTAGTTCCATTTACAGAGCACAGGCCAAGTATATTTAGCCTAACTCTTTAGGGCCCTAGGCTTTTCAGAATAGTAAGTGAGCACTGGTTTCACCTTAAATTCACCAGCTGCATTAACTCCAAAGAAGAGAGTCAACCTGCCTTTTGAAGCTTTAAAGCCAGGCATTTTCTTCTTTCTAGATCTGAAAGTGCTTGGTGGCATCTTCTTCCAATAGAAGGCTGTTTTGTCTACATTGAAAATCTGTCATTTAAAGTAGATACCTGCATTAATGATCTTAGCTAGGTCATCTGAATAACGCTGCAGCTTCTGTATCAGCACTTGATGCTTCATCTTGTACTTTCCTTCCATGGAGATGACTTCTTTCCTTAAACCTCATGAATCATCCTCTGCTAGCTTCAATTCAAGCTTTTCTTCTACAGCTTACTCACCTCTTCCAGCTTCTGTAGAACTGCAAAGGGTTAGGACCTCGCTGTGGGTTAGGCTTTGTCTTAAGGGAGTACTATGGTTGATTGGAACCATCCAGACTACTACAACTTGCTTCAAATCAGCAATAAGGCTGTTCCACTTTCTTATCATTTGTGTGTTCACTGGCGTAGCACTTTTAATTTCCTTAAAGAGCTTTTTCTTTGCATTCATGACTTTGCTAAATGGCACAAGAGACCTAGCTTTCAGCCTATCTCAGCTTTCGACTTGCTTTTCTCATGGAGCTTCATCCTTTCTAGCTTTTGATTAAGGATGAGATGTGTGACTCTTCCTTTGACTTGTATATTTAGAGGCTATTGTAGGATTTTTAATTGGCATAGCTTCAGTAATGTTGTGTCTTAGAGAGTAGGCACGCTGGAGGAGAGGGAGAGAAATATAGGGGAATGAGTAGTTGGTAAAGCCGTCAGAACACACACATTTATCAAGTTTACTGCCTTTTATGGGTACAGTATGTCTTGCACCCAAAGAACTACCATAGTAACATTAAAGATAATTGATCATAGATCACCAATAACAAATAAATCATAATGAAAAACTTTGAAATATTGGGAGAATTGCTAAAATGTGACAGAGACACTCAGAGTGAGCAAATGTTATTGGAAAAATAGTGTCAGTAGACTCGCTCAACACAGGGTTGCCACAAACCTCCCATTTGTAAAAAAAGAAAAAAAGTACTCTTCATGAAGTCCAATAAAGTGAAGCTCAATAAAACAAGCTCTGCCTGGATGGCATAAAGTGTACAGTTAAGCCTGTGCGTGTTTCTTACTTATGTGATTTATAAGATATTTAGAAGTACTTGCTTTGTTCCTTGTTTCCTTGTTTATCATGATTTGGATGTTTCTAGTTTACTATAATAAAAGAGAAGCTTGTAAGAAAAGCATTACTATAGAATAGGACATCACTCTTTTTTAGTGACTTTATTCTGAAGGTCACACGCCAGTGTATCTGGAGGATACACTCATGGGATCTCACTTTAATAAGTATCTCTGTAGTCAACTTCAATATTGGACTTGGGCCTGATGCACTATTTTAATTCTGAAGCACATTTTGGGAGCTTTATAAGTATCAAGAGACACTTCCATATCTTTATCAAATATTCCTCTCAAGACAGGAAAACTTATTATACCAGATAAAAAGAATGGTTTGGTTAAATACAGTGAGTACATCTTAGCCTAGATTTCAAGAGAAGAGAGATGAACACTTGTCATTTAGGTTCCCATGCTAGGCCATGGGATTTGAAAGGTGAGGGTGTATTCAATAACATTTTATTGAGCTTCATTGTCTTCTTTTCTCTGCCTCTGCCAAATTTCTGATTTTAATAACATTTACTTGTATGACTCATGGAATGCTGGTAAGATGGAAAGAAAGCTCTTCCTTGTAAACATTTCCAATAAAGAACTAAGGTCTTTGTTTCATTGTGGTTTATATACACATGAAGTTTTGCTGTGTGCGGGTTTGGGTGTTAGAACCTTTTATAATCTTATATAATGCTTTGAAAATGAAAGGGATAGTCATGTATCTAATCCTGGAAAAATATTTTTTCCTGCTGATTTGCAACACAACAGTCAATAATTATGTAAAGCCTTAGGAAACAAACAATCCAGAAATACATGACAAAGAAAAAAACCATCTAATTATCATAATAGAATTATATGTCTTTTTAATGAACCAGCTGTTTGGGAAGTAGCATTTTGGTATAGTTTTAAAATGTCCTTGATGGATTTTATTATCAAAAATTATAAAAGAATAGATTTCTTTACATTGATACCACATCTTTGTAGATTGTAGCTGTAAGTTTGACAATGATGCCAAAGAATCTGTTTTGCCTTTCTTACCTAAATAGAGAGATCAGTTTTGGCATTAGTGGCCAATTATTTAGAAAATTCAGAAAACAGTTTTGGTTTTTGAGTAAATTGACATAATCCTTACAAAAGGGGGGAAATTTATGTACTTAATTTTTTATGTTCAGGTAAACAAAGCAAGTAAATTTTAATATTGTGAAGATAATTTAAAAATTATAATCTAATTGCTTTATTATTTACTAAATTGTCCAAAACTTGAGAAATTGAAACTCAATACATAAAAGATAAGCTGGGACTTAGCAGTTACATGCTTTTTAAAAACTGATGGCCTAGGATTTTGCTAATTGGCACCTCCAGCTGAGTAATATTAGTTAGAATGGGCTTAAGAGGTATAATTAAAGGGAGATAACTGCTCTGTATTATGTTAGTAAGATATTCAAAACTAGGGATAAAAGAAAGATTGCTAACATTAGTAGAAGGTGATAGACTGAGCCCTCTCAAGGGAAACACATCTCCATTTAAAAAATCACATTACCCAAACACAGTCTTAGAATATATTTTCTTCTTTTATCTTTTGTCTTATAAACCTGCCATGCATAAAAATGTAGCCAGTGGCAGACAACTCAATATGTTAAATAATTTAACACTCCCACTACTTCAGAAAGCAAAGGGGGAAGCTGGAGGGAGTGAAATGGAAGGAATCATACGTATGGACGTATATGAACTATTCTGTAGTTTCTAAAATATTTCCCTGTTGGTTTATTGTAAACTGAACCACAACAAACCAAAGGGTTTAAAATGGTGTGTTTTTCTTCCTCAGGAATTTATACATTTGGACTGTTTGCAACAGATATCTTTGTAAATGCTGGACAAGTTGTCACAGGAAACCTGGCTCCCCATTTTCTTGCCCTGTGTAAACCCAACTACACGGCACTTGGGTGTCAGCAGTATACGCAGTTCATCAGTGGGGAAGAAGCCTGCACAGGCAACCCAGATCTCATCATGAGAGCGAGGAAGACATTTCCATCCAAAGAAGCGGCTCTCAGTGTCTATGCAGCTATGTATCTGACAGTAAGTAAGGATTAGAAGCCATTCTTAATTTGTCTTCCTGGTAATTCTCCCAAAGTAGAAATTATTTCTCCCTGCCATAATGGAAGTCACATTAACAGTTTTCTGCAGGCCATTTAATTTATCTTTAATAATAGCTGTTGGTACTGTGACTAAAATTAAGTCAGTTGACTCTCATGAGATTATGTGTGAGTAGTTGGTTGTATTAAAAAATATAGCCATTAGCATTTCCATTTGAGAATATGTTGGTCTTTATATTAAACAGGGCTTAATGGAAACAAATTTGTCCTATGCAGTCCTTATAAACTTAAAATAGTGCAATTAAGAGAACTACCGAGGCCTCTTTGCTGCCTACTCAACTTCCAGTGTTCTCTGGTGAAGGTAGAGAAAGGGGCACTCTTTTTCTAGAAAGTTCTTTTTTGTTGATAACTCTATCATCTCAGTATCTCGACCACTGTTTTAATATTTTGTTATAGAACTAACCAAAATGCCCTTATAAATTATACACGTTTTATTTATTCTTGAGTATTTGCTGTCATTCTAGTGGTAAGAGCCAGACCGAAAATGCAGATCTCTTGAGGCGTTTAGGTGGAAGGAAGTGGTCACCGCTGAGTGCATCAGCGATGGGCAGGAGTAGGAAGTAGAGCAGCCTTTTCAGGCAGTTCTTGTCCCCAGCGTTTGTATCCATCATTCTTACCCTCTATCACCAGAAGCTGCCTTGAAGCTATAGAGTTGCACTCCAAAAGTATTATTGGAAGACTTTTTCTTAGCTCCAGTAAGAAGTGCAGAACATTTTTCCTTTTGGAGTTCTCCTAGTCAATGGCTCCAGTAACTACTTCTGATTTCAGCTCAATGACAAGAGATCTCAGGGTCAATGTCAAGCCAAATTTGACTAATTTCTAATTGCTTGAAAAAACTCAGAACTATTTTTCCCCTCAAAGAGCTATTTGATTATGGAAATGTTTCTAATGTTCCTAATGTAAGCTTGTCAGTTTGTCTCTAAAAGAGAGAATATTTCCTGTGGCACCTCTGCTTGATATTGGAAATAAAGATTTCTAGATAAAAGACAATATATATACAATACTATAGCATTGTATATAACACTCACAATGGCAGAGTCATTTTGGAGGTCATAAGGGTGTGCATTTTAACATTTTTAAAGTGTTTAAGCCAAGCTAATTCTACCATTTGCTTCTTGGACTTTAAAAGAAATCCCATCAGGAAAATTTTTATAGCATTAAGGACCAAATCCCATTCTATCCATTTTCTCTTCTGTAAAATTTTCTAGTTACAACTCTCTTCTTACTCTCATACTACTCCCAACAATGTTCCTCTAATTGCCCCTGATTTCTTTAGCCCATTAATTTTGCTTTCTGCTACACATTTTAAGGTACTTCTAGACTTGATATAAAATCTTCTAATCCATGTGTGGTTCTTTCTTAGTCACTAAATTGCTTAACTGTTTGTTCCACCTCCCCTAGAAGGTAGAGCAGTTAGCCTTAATATGAAGATTTAAAACTTGTGTGAATCAGAAACAGTAAAACATTTTTCATTCATTGTCATCACATCTAAATCTTTTGTTTGTATTTGTATCTGGATATTAATTGTAAAAGTCTTCCCTGGTGGTTCAGATGGTAAAGAATCTGCTTGCAATGCAAGAGACCTGGGTTTGATCCTTGGGTTGGGAAGATCCCCTGGAGAAGGAAATGGTAACCCACTCCAGTATTCTTGCCTGGGAAATCCCATGGAGAGATGAACCTGGCAGGTTATATAGTTCATGGGGCTGCAAAGAGTTGGATACGACTAAGCAACTAACACACGTTAATTGTAAACACGTCTTGCGTATAGACATGTGCCAAGCAGGTGACTTGAGACAAATTCCAGAGCACTCTCAGACCCCAAATACTGTTACCTGATTATCTTAGCACTAATAGAGATTTTGTTGTGTGATCAGGGTATGCCAATGGTAGTGAATGTGTTAGTGTAGTGAAACACTTGGTGTTTTTATTCTGCCAAAATGGTGTGTCTGCTGGCATTTGTTTAGCAACTCTTATCTGTTTTTTTACCAATTTACTTAAAGGCACTTATTTAAGCTACGTCTGAATTATAAGTCACACTTTTCTAGTCTAGACTTGGGGCTTCCCAGGTTGGCACAGTGGTAAAGAATCCACCTGCCAATACAGGAGACACCAGAGATGCAGGTTCAATCCCTGGGTTGGGAAGATCCCATGGAGGAGTAATGGCAACCCACACCAATATTCCTGCCTCAAAAGTTCCATAAGGCAGAGGAGCCTTGCAGGTTATAGTCCAGGGGTTATCAAAGAGTCGGACACAACTGAGTGACTGAGCACGCACGCATGCACTGTTCTAGTCTGTAATAAACACTTGGAGATGTTTTAACAATAATAATTATTATTGTTAGCAAACATTTATTGAGCATTTAGTATATGCCAGGCACTAGTGCTTTACTTTCATTTATTTAATACTTTACTAGTTCTTATTTAATTTAAAATTTATTATTTTTACTATTTGTGTAATAGGTGATTATTTATCACTGGAGAAGGGAATGGCAACCCACTCCAGTATTCTTGCCTGGAGAATCCCGTGGACAGAGGAGCCTGGCGGGCCACAGTCCCTAGGGTCGCACAGAGCTGGACCCGATTGAAGCGAGTTAGCCCAGCACAGCTCTGATGCGTGTGTGATTCCAGCTGATTCCCTCCTGGTCCTACATAACCTCTGCATCCATAGAGGTTAAAGCCAGAGGTTCAGGTGGTAGCTATGTTAGAGAAAAGAAAAATGTAATAACAATCTAGCACTCAGAAATCTTCTATTGTTAAACAGTGGTTCAGACTAAAAATCAGGATCCCTTCTTGTAATTACATTGAAAGGTACCGCTGTCTTTTTAACAATAGATTCTGTTCTCTGCTAACTGCTTTTCTCTCTTTTCCACCACCCCTTTGTGTGTGTGTGAGCGTGGGTGGCTGCTATGGCAACCCTGAATATAACTCCTACTGCAAATGGAGGCAGTACAGTCAGGATTTGCTGTTATAGTTGAACCTATACACATGCATATATTTTCTCCAGCTTCACTGGAGACACCTTGGGAGAACTTTATAATAAAAATGTTGGGGTGTTTCAACAGGAAATGCTTGCCAGAATTTTTACATGTAGATGAATAGGGGAAAACAGCCATATTTTCAGTATTCTCTGTGGAAATAGGCTTATTGCTGTGTTTAGGCAGGGATATATTTGTTTATTGTGGTGAAGGTGTTATAAACATGTAAACACATAAATAAAAATAAATGAGCCCTATTAGGAAGTATGCAAATAAGAATTGAAGAACGTTTTCCTGATGCTTCTCTTTGTGGATTAGTAAATAAAATGAAGGAACTCGAACTCTCCCTTAGTATCTGACTTTAATTAAGGCTGTGGGGATAATTTGATCACAGAGTTGTTATCTTTTGCTTTTCTGAGAACTTTCAGGGAAGAAAATCCTATGCTTATTTCTGCAAATGCTGTCGGTTTCCCAGGAAAAAATTCTGGAGGTTATTTAACCTTCAACCATTAAATTTATAATTCAGTGTTGAGTTGCATTAGAATAATATTTAAATTAAGCTTTGTGGCATTTCTTTTCCTGTAAAATGGATAAAATTTTTTTCAGTTAAAATCAAATGAACTCCAGAATTGGAATGAGACGTAATGTTTGATGACTTTCCAGTTAACCTCATAAACCATTGAAACAAAAAGTCATAGAATGGTCTAAGTGACCGCAGAATGGTCACTTCCAATTCTGACCTTAGGTTTTCTGAAAATATTTTTTTTAAAAAGGGAAGGGTCAACTATATTTATTAGTCTTTTTACATTATCTGTTGCTGCTTAACAAACCACCCTAAACCTCATCCAGAATTTGGGGAATCATGCCCATTTTTGAAGCAGTTGACTCCATGAGACTGTCTAGATGGGGACAGTGTTTGGAGAAAGGATTGTGGAAGGTAAAAAGAAAATCTCTGAACTGTCTTTACAAATTTGTCTTCACCGGCTGGTGAGACCTGGCTGACATCAGAAAGCCATTCCTGTAAATCATCCCCACTCAGGAGTAATTTAACACTGAAATGTATATGGTCCTTGAGCTCCAGATTTCAAATGAGCAAAATTGTGTCTGGTAGACAATACATCAAACAGTATTTATTGAGCATCTGCTCATAATGTGGCTGCTATGCTATCACTTGACCACTGGTGCCACACTGTTATTAGTCGATTGACATTTCTGTTGTGAGCCTTCAACTATGTGTTAATTGGTATCGGGTGGGGGAAGGAACTAAAGATTTCTGCCAAGTACCCATTGGGTTCCAGTATTTTCACCGCCATAGACCCTTTTATAGTTTGCCTTTTCCCTCCTAGCTACCACTCCTCCATGAACTCCATGTTTTTAAATGTTCTGTTTAACATAGTAACACTTTCCCATCTCAACTTAAGCCCAGATATTAAACAATGGTTCATAATAATAAAAATGTAATATGCTGTTTGAAACTGCACAATTCATTTATTAAAATTGCATACATACAATTATTAAATAACAAACAGTGAATGATTGAAGACACATGGGCACTCTTGACCATAATTTTACCTGGCTTCTGTAAGTGATACTTATATCTGGGTATTCTGTGATTGACCTATGGATTTATGGTGGCATCTGGTTCTCTGGTTACATCTCAAAAATTTCTGTGTATTCCATGTATCAGAACCACTCAGCAGCATGAGATCACCAGTGTTGCCAACTGCCTTAGTATCTGTTCAGTTCAGTTCAGTTCAGTTCAGTCGCTCAGTCGTGTCCGACTCTTTGCGACCCCATGAATTGCAGCACGCCAGGCCCCCCTGTCCATCACCAACTCCCGGAGNTAAATAAGCAGGGTGACAATATACAGCCTTGACGTACTCCTTTTCCTATTTGGAACCAGTCTGTTGTTCCATGTCCAGTTCTAACTGTTGCTTCCTGACCTGCA